TTTTTTTTTTTTTTTAAGAAAGTTTTCTGACCTTTTCAAAAAATCTTTTTTTAACTCTTTAGACTTTTGTTTGTTTTTTTTTTATACAAATGTGTTGGAAAAAATCTTGACTTCTGTTTCCATTTATACCGCTGTTTGTCATCTGACAGATTCAAGTTGTCATTGTTTATCAAAGAATCTTGGTCTGTGTTTCCTAAACTCAACAATTTTATTTTTGAAGTCAAAATTTTCAATTTTTTTCTGACTAATCTGTACCATATGTTTCAATGGAAAAACCTAAAGTTATCAGCATAGAATGTCGCAGCAAAACCATTTCAATTATCCAACCAATTAAAAACACCATTATTTTGCTATCAAATATGGTGCTAAATGTCGACATAATTTGTATGACTTTTATGATTGTTAAAATCAGTCTAAAATTGTCACTTTTTTATTGCACTGAAACAAAAACAGAACAACAACTGCTGAGTTGATTTTAAAGCTAATTTTCTGCGACAAAGAAAATACCAAAAATTGCTTTTAAGCAGTAATTAAAAATACTTCTGGCTAAAATGATAAATACGTAGAAGTTCGTAGCAAAAAAAAAAAAGAAACTTAATCAAAAATAAACTAATAAAAACAAATATGAAAAAAAATCTTTATTGTCGTGACATTTTCAGAAATCTTTAGTAATTTTTTTAACAAAAAACTAATCATCTATTGACGTCACAAATGAACTTTACTGCTGCTGCACAGCAACAGCAATCAAAAAATATACTCTTTCTTCCGCAATAAGGAAAGAACTATTAGAAACCTTAACCATTTCATCAAGTTTAGTCTAATTTAACACAATTATTATTTAGAAAAAAAAGTATTTGCTGATTCAATGTTCAAAACATAAACTAAAAAAGCATTTAAATAGCTTTCTTTTTTTTTTTTCAAATCCGCATATCAGCTCTATCAGTAATTGGTACTTCAATTTCAGCATACAATAACTTTTGCAAAGAAACTTTTACAAGATTTTCAAATTTTAAACATCTGCATTTATTTTTTTGCTCTTTAAAATGCCAAAATAATTAAAAAAAACTTTTAAATAGCTATAAAAATTGAAGTGATAATCAAGCTTATAAAGCTAAAACTTTGTTTACACCATTAAAGGTTATCCAATACGTACTGCTGCTGGCAATTTTGTTTTCACTTATTTTTATAAAAGAAGCTAAAAAAACGTATTTGCATCTAATTTTACAATACACTTAGTTTACTGTGACCATTCTATTCAGCAAACTGTGAGCCAAAGACTTAAGATTATAACACAGAAATGACAAAAAATTTGTTTACAGTCACTTTGAGACGACAACTGTTTCAATTAAAGTATCTCATCTGTTTACCAGCAGTCTACATTGGTTTTTATCCATCGACTTCACAGTATAGAGTAATTTTTACAAAAAAATATTTTAAAAAATTTTTAAGTTCAAACCGAACATTTTTATCAGTACCCAAAAAACTACAGCACCACTGATATAACGACAGGAACTGTCTACAGTTATCAATTGCAATCCATTGTTGTTTGTTCAGTGCTGTACGGTTAAACCAATTAGAAAAATGTCATTTTGACTTCAATTACTAAAATGTTCTTTGTGCTGTCCTGTGAAAATAATGACTCTATTATTTTCAGTAGTTGAATTTAAATACAAAAAAAAACTCTCCTTCATTCTATTTTTAGTCATATTGCAATAATAAGTTCTTTTGCTTCATTGTAACAACGTCTTTAATTAAATTTTATTCCAAATAACCTGAAATTTCACTAGCAAACCCGGTAAAATATATCGTCAACTCACCATTCTACAATTTCAAAAAACATA